ATGGAGTCTTTTCTGGACTTTATTATGCATGATTATTATAGCTTTGTATTTGTCACTGATCTATTCGTTTGGTTTGACCAACTAGATTGATTTATCTTCAATGGGAGAGGTGCTTTGTAATGGGTCCAATCTTGCGGTGCTCTATATCCCACTGATAGAAGGGGACAAGACACGTACTTGAATTGTTGCCATTAAGGGTAAAACGACGGGGTTTATTCATATTGATTGGGTTTACTTTGTCTAGATCATGTCATCTTGCTTAAGGCGTTACTATGTTTTACACTTAATACCATGCTGGATAGCGGTCGATTGGTGGAGTAATAGTAGTAGATGCGGGCAGGAGTGGTCTACTTGTCTCGGATGTGATGCGTGTATACATGATCATTGCCTTGAATATCATCATAACTATGTGCTTTTGTATCAATTGCCCAACAATAATTTGTTCACCCACTGTATGCTATGTGTTTGAGAGGGAAGCCTCTACTGAAAACAATGGCCCTGGGGTCTATTTTTATCATATATAAAACACAAAAATACATTGCTGCAATTTTATTTATTTTCTATTATTTTGCAATTTACTTCACTATCTACCACTACGAGATTTAATTCTTGCAAGTAATCACCAAGGGGATTGACAACCCTCTTATTCGCGTTAGGTGCAAGTATTTGCTTTTCTGTGTGCAGGTGTTGTTCACGTGGCTTTGTGTGATTCTCCTAATGGATTGATAACCTTGATTCTTAACTGAGGTAAATACTTATCTCTACTGTACTGCACCTCCTCTCCTATTTGAGGAAATCCCAACGCAGCTCACAAGTACCAGCAAGAAAATTGGATGCACACCCACTTAGTTTTCATTTAGCTTTCTTACATTATAGTTCTTAGTGCATCCGTTGCATGGCAATCCCTACTCCTCTCATTGATATCGATTGATGGGCATCTCCATAGCCCGTTGATCTATCAAGTTGATGCGAGACTTTCTTCCTTTTTGACGTCCCTTATTGATCCCTATCACCGCATTCTATTCCACCTACAGTGATATATCCATGGCTCACACTCATGTATTGCATGGGGTTGAAAATGCTGAAGCACGTTAAAAGTATGATCCAATTTCCTGCATGGTTTGACACCGGGGTGCTCATGATTTATATCTATGTGGTGAAGGCGGAGTCATGACATGTTAACATGATAAAATGAGTGGGGATAACATTCGTTAAGGATCATATATTTTGAAAAAGTAATGATTATGTTTCTTATATTCATGGATATTATTTGGTTGATATTGTTACTTCATTGTTTCTCATCATTTATATTGTAAATAGATTACATGATACACATGCTTGGTAGCATTCACCATCAATAATTCTGTTTTTATCATTTACCTACTCAAGGACGAGAGGGAATTAAGCTTGGGGATGCTGATACATCTCCAACGTATCTATAATTTTGGGAACTAACCTATTAACCCAATGCCTAGTGCCAATTGTTGTTTGCTGCTTGTTTTTGGTTTTCCAGAAAATCAGTACCAAACGGAGTCCAAATGCTACGAAACTTTTTGACGATTTTTTCTGGACCAAAGAGACCCTAGAAGCTTCAGGAGGAGACCAGATGACAAGCGTGGAGACGGCAAGGAAACATGGTGCACCAGGTTACCTTGTGGGCCCCACATGGCTCCATATGACCTAATTCCACTTCTATAAATTCTCAAATATTGGCAAACCCCGAGAGAGCCACCTGAAACACTTTTTCCACCACTACAAGATTATGTTCTTCTGCAATCCCATCTGGAGGCCTTTTCCGGTACTCTACCGGAGGGGGAATCGATCACGGAGGGCTTCTAAATCATCCTTGCCCCCATTTCGATGGTGTGTGAGTAGTTCAAGAGGACCTACAGGTCCCTAGCTAGTATCTAGATGGCTTCTTCTCTCTCTTTGATCTTCAATACAATGTTCTCCTCGATCTTCTTGGAGTTCTATCCGGTGTAATCTTCTTTTGCGGTGTGTTTGTTGGAATCCGATGAATTGTGGGTTTATGATCAGATTATTCATTAAAAGAATTTAGTCTTTTCTAAACTTTATTGTGCATGATTATGATAGCTTTGTATTTCTCTCTGATCTATCCATTTGGTTTGGGCAACTAGATTGATTTATCTTCAGTGGGAGAGGTGCATTGCAGTGGGTTCAATCTTGCGGTGTCCTCACCCAGTGACAGAAGGGGTAGCGAGGCACGTATTGTATTGTTGCTACTAAGGGTGAAATGACAGGGTTTATTCATATTGAATGGGTTTACTTTGTCTACATCATGTCATCTTGCTTAAAGTATTACCCTATTTGTCATGAACTTAATACCATGTTGGATAGTGGTCGATTGGTGGAGTAATAGTAGTAGATGTTGGTAGGAGTCGGTCTACTTGTCACGGATGTGATGCCTATATGTGTGATCATTGCCATGAATAACTTCATAATTAACTATGCACTTTTCTATCAATTTCCCAACAGTAATTTGCTTACCCGCCGTATGCTATGTGTTCGAAGACAAGCCTCTAGTGAAAACTATGGCCCACGGGTCTACTTTACTCGTATTACTAAAACCAAAAATACCTTGTTGCAATTTATTCACTTCTCTTTTATTTTGCAATTTATCTATCTATCTATACAAGATTTAATCCTTGCAAGTAACGAGTTGAAGGGGATTGACAACCCTCTTGCCCGCATTGGGTGCAAGTATTTGCTTTTATGTGTGCCGGCGTTGTTCACTGGGGTTTGTGTGATTCTCGTATTGGTTCGATGTCCTTGGTTCTCACTGAGAGAAATTCTTATATCTACTGGACGGCTCCACCCTTCCTCTTCGAGGAAAATCCCAATTTAGCTCACAAGTTGCAACTCTGAATCTTTAACCCCATTTGAATCAATGTTATTCCAGAGATGAGGTGGACCAAATAAGATGAAATTAAAAATGAAATCTGACTAGATCATGTCTCTAAGACCATAGATGAAATGTCCCACATTTTTGGAGGCCATCGAGAACCAAAATGAACGATCATGAAGCTGAGTCACATTGAAACCAGAGGCAATGCCACTGATACATCATTGTAATCCAAGGCCAACCGATGACAGTAGAAGGGGGAAGAAGAGAAAGAAGACACCAAGAAAAATTTCTTGGAGGAATAGGATGGAGATTAGTGCACAATAGATCCAAAATGACACGAACCTGTTCCGCGACTGCAAAGACCATGACTGAAATCCCAGTGGATGAGGCCATCCATTGGCACACTCTAGAGATCTTCATGGGCGGCGATCAAATGCACAATACTGGAGAGCACGATGGTGGAGGGCATGATGGTGGAGATCATGGTGGTGGAGGGCATCGATAAGGTACAACAGTTATGTGAGCCATGTTGTAATATAATACCATGACGATGACGGTTAATTACCACATGATTTACTACTATGCAATGAAGCTATCTCGATGGTGTTGTTGGAAACACCCACTTTGATTGCCCTATACAGGTCTGATCGGGTCGACGTCCTGGCCTAGGTCATACGCATGGGCTTTATGATGTCATCCCAGCCAAGTGATCTCCTGGCACAGACTCGGGAGTTTAGGTATCCTATGGCGAATCCTTACCATGGCCCTTCCGCTGGGGATCCCAATATCAATAGCTATATGGGAAGATAATATTGGCATCTCATGAGGTTTCCATGAATTCCAGGTATATTTTAGTTATTAGGACAACTTTCTTGTATTAAGGAACCATACTTGTATACTTAAAATAGATTATGAGAAAAAATGGGAAAGTTCTCTCTTACTTTATCTCTCCTTCCCGCCCCCACTCTCTATATCTCTCTCACACCGCACCCCTCCGGGATTGATTAGCAAATAGTAGCTAGCTTGGACCCAGGGTGCAACTCTAGGAAGTTAAATAAGAAATGTTTGAAATTTGAGACAATAAGCCGAGACAATCATCACTAGTTTAAGAAGACACATGTAATTTCTTAGCAACATTGGTAATGTTTTTTCATCCAAGATCGAGGGACTCATGTTTCTATAATAATACAATATATCATTCAATAGTTTTTTCCAAAGGAATAAATACCAACTTTTATGTAGAAGATGGCATTATTGAATTTACCATTAGGATGGGAATGGGATAACCTGAACCTGGCCTTGGACCCGCCCCAAGCCCAATTTGAGAGGCCACAGGTCAACCCACATAAAAAATAGTCAGTGGCCTTGTTGTCCCAATGGGTATTTTGGGTCGACCCAAATTCTTGCTTTACATTGCCTTGTGGACAAACGAGGTGTTAAAATGAGCCTTGGTTTAAATGGAATCCGACTAGTGTAAGAATTGATAAGATTTCTAATATGTGGTTAATAGAAAAAAATCAAGCCATCTGCTTGTGGTTTGTATGTGCGCATCTTACCTAAATATACCTAGACAATTTTGTGGTTCATATAGGCGAGCGTTTGCCAGAAATTATCCGATAGACTGCATCGCAAAATTTGGCCCTACGACAATGCCAACGTGACGGAGATTGCACCCGATGTGAGATATAAGACTATAAGGTGGGCTGACCAGGTTGGCCCAGCAGGTCACCAGGGGCTGGCTTTGTTGACCCCAATCTTGTTTGAGACCGACCAACATGACCCATTGGCCTCCAATTTTTGGGCCGATAAGTGACCCGGCGGGCCGACCCAGCCCATGCCCATTACTAATTTACCAATAAGATATCCTAGAAGATATCATGAATTATTAGAATAATTTATCACCCGTATCACTTAGATACTATATGAATACTGTTGATTAAAGTTCAAATATTTTAGTTAATGACACAATTGAATAATACATGAAGGCATGCATGTTCATAGATACCCAAGATTCCTATAAATACACCTAATTTCACCTCATGTAGCATCCCTCCTAAGAAACAAACACTAGCATACCATATACATCTCCACTTTCAATACCTTTCCAGAAAAGTTCTTGATTTTACTAGGAGATATGGATCCTAATGGCTCCTATCCTAACAAAGTCAGATCTAGTGAAAGTGAGGCCAACATTTCTCCCTTGCATGATGCACCGAGAGGCAGAGCGATCATGCCGATGTTGAGTGATTTTGTTCCCCTGAATTCCACACCATCAGATTCAACTTGGATATGGAACACCCCACCTACCATTGATGCACCACATGTAGTTACCATGCCATCAATCAAAGATTGTTCCATCGTGCCATACCAAACCAGTGCATCACTATCCTCACTACCTCCACAGTTGCCTGATGCAAAGTTTACTCCTACAACTAGGGTAAATACCCTTACTTCTCAGCCCAACCATAGGGAAATCTTTGAGAACCCGCCAGAAATATTCTCGCACCAAGATTTCCTGTCAAACCCTATTAGTAACTACTTTAGTTCATCGGATCAAAGTAGGATCTTTTCGATGGAGTCTCCATCAATTACATCCTTACTCCAAGGAGATCCCATTGCAGTTGTCAATGCCCACCTTAATACTATTGGAGCAATAGATGATGGTCCAATCTTTGAGATCCCAACCAGGAGTGTCTACAAGGTAAACTTAGTACCGTCACAATTTGTTTGTATTTATATATTTTGTCATCACTCACCAATTATTATGCAGGGTCCACAAAATATACCACATGGGACGCTAACCCGTGATGCTACTTATGTTGTGCCTACCCCTCTTGCTCCATTCGCCACATCCTCACATGGCCCTAGAGAATACAAGACTCCTATGGGTGTACCAAATGGCATTACTAATAGTGGTATTGTGCATAATACTATGAGTTCACGTAAGTACAGATGCAGCATTTGCAATCTCACCTTCAACTCATCTCAAGCCTTTGGTGGTCACATGAGTTCCCATAGCAAAGCAAGGAAGAACAAGCTACAAAGTTGAACTATGAGCACCAAAATGGATGAAGGCAGAGGTTCTATCCCAGATGGAAAAGATATTATGGTTTCTTTACTTTTAGAAATAAAATGATGAATAAAATTGCATAAGATTGGAAAATATTGTGTGGGTGTAAAAGATAGAACAATATTTGTTTGAATATGTTTGTATTTGTTATTTCCTTATGTAACTATCAGACTCATAGATGGTTATCTGCTATGTTAATCGTTTTGCCATTAAATTTATGAAGTAACCATGCTTTTGAATGAAGAACCATTAGAGCTATGTAAGTTCACAAGGATTGGCAAATGAAGCTTGCATTATTTATGGAGAGATTGAGAATATGGAGCACATTTTGTTTACCTATACCATGGCTGTGTTTTTTAGAGTTGTGTTCGCTTGTGGCTCAATGAAAATTGGGACCCATTGAACTTTCAGAATTGGTTTTTTTGTCATGCTCCTTTCTCTAGCAATTCAAGACGGCTATGTTGGGTTATTTTTGCTGCTATTTCCTTGTATTTATGGGTTGCTCATAACAAAATTACTATTGAGCATATTTTACCTGAGAAAACTATCGATTGCTTGTTCAAACTTAAAATTATCTTAAAATAATGATAGATTCTTTCTAAGGCGCAAGGTGTTGACAACATGGCCCTCATGATATCCAAGATCCCTGCTATTGGGCTGTGTAGCATGCAACGCTTGGATAAAGAAAATGATTCCTTCTGCATAGAACACCCGAGAGAATGCTCAGGAGATAGATCACGAGATTACCACTAGACACTCAATCCTCGTAGTGGAAGTATAATTTGAGTAGAGTGTTGTTCGGAGGAGAGTGTTGTCCATTCAATTCATCTCTTCCAGTCAATTCCCTTGAACAGCCAATCATGGAATCCCTCAAGCAATTCGTTAGTGTGGTGCAAGTGCACAGCCTCTACAGATATCCTTGCGTGTAGATTGAACTTCGAGAGATGGACTAGTAGGCCCATTTGCATGACCGGGGTGAGTGGAGGTGGCTAGAATATGTCACATGTATAACCTAGCCGATGTAGTTACAACCGCCCTTAACTGAGCATCATACCTTCAGTTATATAGAAGTCTCATCGTGGGATAATCAATTAAGGCCCACTAGAGGTATGAAGCCCATAGTTTACTCGACACATGGCCCAAGTCCTAATCTGATCATATCCAAGTAGAGAAATCTAGCCTCAACCGAGTAGGTTCCTTCCCTGATGCGCTCGACCCTTTAGGTTCACACACACATGGTCTCATGTTTATTACAACCATGGGAAAAATCTTTACAGGATTAACCAGTGTTTGCATCTTTCTAACTCTACCTTGTTACTTTCACTTGCATGTCTTTACCATTTCGTTTCCTACAATCTTGTAGACGGATTTGACCAAGGTCTATCCCAAGGATCATTTTCCCCTTCCTCATATTGACCAGATAGTAGACTCCATTGTTAGCTGCGAGAGACTTTGTTTTCTTGATGCGTACTTAGGGTACCATTAGACCCGAATGTATGAGCCCGATGAAATGGAAGCGGCCTTCATCACCCCTTTCGTGTGTTTATGCTACATCATGATGCTATCCCGTCTAAAAAATGCAGGTGCAACTTTCCAACACATGATTTAGGTGTGTTTATATGATATTAGTCGAAATGTGGAAGCATATATGGATGATATCATGGTTAGGTCTAAGAAAGGATCCGACGTCTTAGCCGACCTCACCGAGACCTTCAAAATCCGTTGAACTTAGGGGATACAACTCAACCCTGTTTATGTGAAATTTTGGAGTCCCAACTAGTAAATTACTCAGTTTCCTTGTTTATGAACAAGGAATCAAAGCTAATCCTGAGAAGATAGGCGCTATCGTCCGAATGAAGAAGCCTAAGTGTCTCATGACATCCAAACGCTCACTGAAGATAGGCGCTATCGCAACTCCGAGTAGTAAGAAGCCTTTGCTCTTATACATAGAAGCAATGAGCCAAGTGTTAAGTGTAGTGCTCACAGTGGAGCGTAAAGAACAAGCAAATGTCTGGAAGTGCAATGGCATGTGTCAGTGCACAAAGAACGGGGTCCTTAGCACGCCTGACTTGTGCATGGGCAGTAGTAGCATCCCCCGCAAGAGACCTTGGCGGAGACCAGCTCAAGATCAAGAAGCACCTTCATACGTCTCAAACGTATCTACTTTTCCTAACGCTTTTCCTATTGCTTTGGACTCTAATTTGCATGATTTGAATGAAACTAACCCTGGACTGAAGTTGTTTTCAGCAGAACTACCATGGTGTTGTTTTTGTGCAGAAATAAAAGTTCTCGGAATGGAACGAAACTTTGCAAGGAAGTTTTTATAAAATGTATAAGAATTTCTGGAGCCAAGACCTACCGGAGAGGGGCCCCTGGGTGGGCACAACCCACCAGGGCACGCCCCCTCTCCTGGCGTGACCAGGTGGGTTGTCCCCACCTAGTGGCCCCGCAGACCCTGATTCCGACGCTATAAAATCCTATTTTCGGAGAAAAAAATCAAGGAGAAAGAATTATCGTGATCCACGAGATGGAGCCGCCGCCAAGCCCTGTTCTTCCTCGGGAGGGCAGATCTGGAGTCCGTTTGGAGCTCCGGAGAGGGGCATCTTCGTTCTTTGTCATCTCCAACCCTTCTCCATCACCAATTCCATGATGCTCCCCACCGAGAGTGAGTAATTCCTTCGTAGGCTCGCTGGTCGGTGAGAAGTTGGATGAGATTCATCATGTAATCGAGTTAGTTTTGTTAGGGCTTGATCCCTAGTATCCACTATGTTCTTATATTGATGTTGCTATGAATTTTCCATGCTTAATGCTTGTCACTTTGGGCCCGGGTGCCATGATTTCAGATCTGAAGCGTTTATGTTATCACCATTATTTTCATGTTCTAGATCCGATCTTGCAAGTTATAGTCACCTACTACGTGTTATGATCTGGTAACCCCAGAGTGACAATGACCGGGACTTCTTCTGGTGATTACCGTAGTTTGAGGAGTTCATGTATTCACTATGTGTTAATGCTTTGTTCCGGTTCTCTATGAAAAGGAGTCCTTAATATCCCTTAGTTTCCAATATGGACCCCGCTGCCACGGGAGGGTAGGACAAAAGATGTCATGCAAGTTCTTTTAATAAAGCATGTATGACTATTTACGGAATACATGCCTACAATATATCGATGAACTGGAGCTAGTGTTGTATCTACCTAGGTTATAACTGTCACATGATGAATATCATCCAACAAGTCACCGATCCAATGCCTACGTATTTATCTTATATTGTTTCTAATAAGTTACTACTGCTATCATCACTGTTAAACTTGCTAAAAAATTACTGCTATCACTGTTACTGTTACTGTTGCTACTGTCACTATTATCAAAACTATCAAACTACTTTGGTACTGATCACTTTGCTACAGATAATTAATCTCCAGGTGTGGTTGAATTGACAACTCAGCTGCTAATACCTTCAAATATTCTTTGGCTCCCCTTGTGTCGAATCTATAAATTTGGGTTGAATACTCTACCCTCGAAAACTGTTGCGATCCCCTATACTTGTGGGTTATCAAGACCTTTTTCTGGCGCAGTTGTCGGTGAGCATAGCTATATTTTTTGAGTCACTTGGGATTATTATCATATTATCACTATGAAGAATCTGAAGGATGCTAATATTAAGATATTTCCCTCAAAGACGAGGGGAGGTAAGGAACTTCCATCCAGTTCTACTTTAGATTCACCTTCTGTTATAAGTAAACTTGCAACACCACTACATGCTATCAATTCTAATATGTCGCAAGTTATTGATGATGCTACTTCTGCTATGGATAATGCTTATGATGATGCTAGTACCTTGCATGTTAATGATGATGTGCCACTTGGTGAATTTCTTGATAAAAAAATTGCTAGAGCTATACAACATGATGTTGTTGAATCTGATGACGAGCTTGAAACTGAATCTCCTGAAACACCTACTAGAACTAGCCTTCCTAGATATTAATTTCCTAAGGTACCGGAAGGTTATGTTATGAGTGAAGAAACAACTAGAGATATTCTTGCTTGCAATGATAGAGATGATCTAGAGAAATTACTATGCAAGTATAAAGAAAAATCTCTGAATGCTAGAATGAAATATGATCCTAAGTTTGCTACTTCACCTATCTTTATTGATGATAAGGATTATGAATTCTCTGTCGACCCAGAGTTAATTACTTTGGTTGAATATGATCCTTTCCATGGTTATGAAACTGAAAGTGTTGTGGCACATCTTACTAAGTTGAATGACATAGCCACCCTTTTTACTCATGATGAGAAAACTCTCTATTACTTCATTCTCAAACTATTTACTTTCTCATTAAAGGGTGATGCTAAATCTTGGTACAATACTCTTGCTCCTGGTTGTGTGTGCAGTCCCCAGGATATGATTTATTACTTCTCTGAAAAATATTTTCCTACTCATAAGAAAGAAGCTGCCTTATAGGAAATATTTAACTTTGTGCAAATTAAAGAAGAGAGTCTCCCACAAGCTTGGGGGAGGCTTTGCCAATTACTTAATGGTTTTCCTGATCATCCTCTTAAGAAAAATGAAATACTTGACATCTTCTATAATGGACTAACCGATGCTTCTAGGGACTTCCAAGATAGTTGTGCTGGTTGTGTTTCCAGGGAATGAACTGTTGGACAAGTTGAAGAATTATTGAATAATATATAGAAAAATTATGATGATTGGATTCTTCCTGAACCACCGGTTAAACCCACTCCGAAGAAAAGGGGTATATTATATCTCAGTCCTGAAGATATGCAAGAGGCAAAGAAATCTATGAATGAAAAAGGTATTAAAGCTGAGGATGTTAAAAATTTACCTCCTATTGAAGAAATACATGGGCTTAATACACCACCACTGCCTAAGGTGGTAGAGGTAAATTCTCTTATGAAGTTCAACGATAATGACAATCCTCACAATATGCATCCTAGTCAATGTCGTTATGAGTTT